AATTGCAGACCACACTCGGCGCATAATAATTAGCGGCATGCATCACGAGACCATCACTCAACACGCATTGATACTCCAAGCTGGCATGTATAGGCTCGCCACACTGCAGTAAGTGGGCGAGGACAAGTTGCAGAAATAGATTGAGGGTATCAACTATCAAGGTAATAAATGGATGGACAGTTCAAGGGATTCATCCTAGAGATCAATCTGCATATACCCCTGTCCCAGAGAACGTAATACACTCCAAGCTTGGTTTTAGTTTTAAAACAGGATAGGCGAGGAACCGGATAAACGAACATAACATTACATACTCTAGAGTGTACTATGCACATGGCATATCAAAAGATGTGACATCGTGCGCACATGTACATGTAGATGCGCCACATGCAGTACAGTTACCATGCACATTCTGTAAAACAAGCGAACCATACAACAAACCCCTTTTGTTTGTGCAACTCCCTGGTTCTGGCTTCTGATATGCTATGTGAACCCTTTTGATCACAAAACCACGCCCGTTATGTGGGGTCTGGTTATGTTGTAAGTGTAACATAATTATGTTGTAAACTGGTTGCCAGCAATCTTCTTCCGGATGGTGTGTAGTCCGGATCAATGAGGACCGGATAAGCGAGGTATGACTGTACTTGATACTGGTGTAGGTTGTTTTATCTAACAAGAGGTGGAAAACGCCGTCACAGCCACCAGGAAAGCATAGATATAACCACAAACAATCCTTTATCCCACAGAAGAAAACAGAGACAAGAGACGGACTGCACAGCTCCCTAACGTACCTGATGTGAACACTCAGGCTTTGGCGAGACGGGGTGCTAGGACCACTCACAGGAATAGACACGGCACTGTAGCACAGCATGACAAGACACTGGCCCAACGCAGACCGGCACGGTGGCATAGGAACGCAGCAATGCTAAATAGAACTGAAGCCAACCACAAAGGAAAGGCAAACAACACAGAACATACGGCGATGATGACCAGGAAAAAAGACGATGCCCTCCCTTAACAATGCCCCTCAGCCACAAAATAGAGTCTACAGTGAAGACTGACAGGAGCCACACACAATGCAGAGCATACTCCAAGTCAAAGACCTCAGAACACAGGACACAACACAATGAGAACATGCAACGAATGGAGACCCAGACTGTGTGATCAGCAGGACACAGCCCGTACAGGATGGAACAGACAACTGCACGTAATAGAGCACCACGTACCGGCGGACTAGTCGACGCTGATGGGAGAAGTGGCACCCCCTGAGGCAGCTACGGATGCTAGAACTCTACAGCCAGACCAACACCAATGATAAAACAAAAGGATACACCACACCAGGAAGCAAGTCAAATAAAGATGTGTGAACAATGACCACACACCACAGAAAAGGACACAGAACAAAAACTCAATTACGGACACCATAGACACTGCAAAATCCAAACAGGAGCAAAATACCAGCTCCCTGAGGACACTGAGCATGAGGCAAACGAGCAAGCAACCTCTTGCCGAAGTTCCACCTTGTAACAACAATTTGCCGGGCCGCGCTGGTCACCGGACTGTATGGTAGGGGTATTACACCTGGACCTCAAGACCAACGGGCGAAGGAAAGCATGCCGGGCCCAGGTAAATACAATGAGGAGCACTGTATACAACTACAGAAATAACCTAAACCCATGCCAATCTGATCAACATACCTTTCCTGCGCAACCATGCCAGGCCCGTCGCACCGACTTTGGAGGTGGGGTGGCCATGCAAGGGGGTCCGGGGGCCCTCCGCGGTAAAAAATTAAAAATGTCAAAAATTGAAGCCAATTGCAAGCAATTCCGGGCATTTCGTGCCATTTCAGTGTAACTACAATGAAAGACTCTTTTATTCTGTAACAAACCCCGGGGATCGGGGACGGGGATAGGGGATAAGGATTCTTCATTATTTGCCACGTTTGCGCTGAGCTGCGATCATCGCGCTTTGTTGCAGTGTGCTAAAAAACAAGAACAAAAAAAAACAGCCAAAAAGGTGGGGCGGCCTCAGCTGTGCCGGCCTTGCATGCCTGGTGTACGGGTCTGAAAGATGAAAGATCTAGCTCTTGTATACACGGGCCCGGAAAGCCTGCTTCGGCTGCTCGGCAGCAGCTTCGTAGTGGTGGTCAAGGGTCGAAGACCGACGGATACGGATCAACTCCCCAGTGATCACACCTTTACCCATACTACGGGGGTGGTTACTACCGGCAAGCAGATACAGGAAATGATTGGTGACCTTGAAATGAGGCTTCACTGCCATGTATCCCTTACTACGGAAAACTGTGGTGTCCAGGAAATCAATGCCATCATGTGCCAGTTCATGCGCAAACTCGAGGGCCGAACACTTATTAATCCTGTCTAAAGCGCGCTGAACTTGACCTTCGCAACCATGCAATGAAACAAAAATGTCACTGATAAAGCGTCTATAAACCTGAACCTCTAAACCCTCCCCCTCTAAGATCGGAAAAATGTACCGATTCTCCAAATACAGCATAACAATGTCGGCATAGACCCCTGCTGCAGGCAAACCCATGGCAGTCCCTTGGATCTGCGGAAACAAATCGTTATCATACACAAACTCGTTAGTCTTCCGAATGACTCTGACATCAAGGAAGTCACTGCTGTTGTTAACCGTGTACGAAGGGCCGGGGGCATCCACCTTGTACACCTGTGTGTGATAATTATACCACGACAATGCCACGTGACCGAGCTCGTTGGGGATGTTGGTGTAAAGGCTGGTCACATCTATACTCAAAAATAAATGATCGTCCCGCACAGGCAAACCTTCTACCAAGTTGATGAAATCCGTAGTTCAGGCCAGAACAGTACTTTCCTCACGTACATACGGGTTCAGTAGAAAGTCAATGAACTTAGCAGGATAGTAGCCCGGACTATTCAGACTAACAATATGCCTAACCTTCAGGGCACAGGGCTTATGTGTTTTGAGAAGTCTCCTGGAAACGGGCATGCGCCCCGGTGCGACTAAGAACAGTGACATATATTAGTGGTCATACGATGCTCAATGCGATGCATAGTCATGGTGAGTAAGCAATTGACTCGGGTCGCGCACACGAAGTCTCAAGGCAGCCTTGAGCCTGTTGGTTGCCATCCGCAGTCTAGCCACATGTTCATCTAGCCCCTCAGGCAAAAACCCAGTCATTTATAATGTTGGTGTGATATCTGAGCAAGCGTTGTACAAACGCGTCATAAGTTGTTATCTTATTACTTACGTTGCCTGCATGCATATGCGCATGCCCGTTGTTTTGTTGTCTTGTCTTGCTCTGAACGAGTGATATACAAGTCTTGAGTTTCTCCCTATCTGACAAGTGTGTCTTGGTCTTGTGTAGTGCCTGGGTTGCATGTAACAGTTGGGCATTGTGATATTGGGCACGACCTATATCATCATAGTGAGATCAGTCCAGGACTACTATCACACTAGACTCATCTGCCTTTGAATATATGCCCGAGTTTGATCGCGTTCTACATGTAGCTCCCATACTATATGCTGCATGTGTACACTCCGCCTATGGTTAGTCTACTCCAGAACAACGCCTGGAGAGGTTCATTGGGGACATGATGTCCCCCACCCCATCCCCCCCCCCCCCCCCACCACCTGAAGTACCGGTATTGCCCCTTCCCCCCCCCCCCCAAATAAAGTACAGGACACAGATGGAGCACTCGGGAGCACGTAGCAGTAGGCAAAGTTGACGATGCCAGTGCAGACACGCCTGACCTCGGTCACCACACTGGTACGGTCGTATGGTCTCCAAGGGACATAGCTACCAGAGAACACACAAAATGGGAGTATATAGTGCTATCTCGGAGGATAGACAACCTCCTATACAAAAATACCTACTGATAGAGTTTTATGTAGACCCTATGTGCACATATGTGTGGATGAGTACTAGTAAACGGACAGCTAACCCTAGTCTAAGTAAAATAAATGTAGAATGTAGACCCTGGGCAAAAGAAATAAGTAAATAAAAATAATAGCAACACATGAGGGAACTCGGATGGAGAGCCAAGGATTAAAATTAAAAAAGAGGACCATATCAAAGTTTATGAGTTATCCGTTTTGTCCAACACTAACGGGCATAAACGTGAAGCAGCTAAGCATCAGGTCGTTGAATGTCAGGATCTCAGTCAGTTTTTGTGCTAATTGTTGCACATTTTTGACTCGACAGTATTCTGCTTGTAACCGCTAGTGTTGGACAAAACGGATAACTTGTAAACATGAGGGAACACTCATCCTTACCCAAGTCCCAAAGCCAGCACTCGGCGGTGCTCCGAACCAAGAGGAACATTAGAGAGATGGTCCATCAGCTCCTCTCTCGTCCTGCGATCAAATCGCCGAATGCTAAAACACAAGAAGATAGGAGAGGCAAATAGAATAAATAAATCAATAAAATAATAAACAACAATACAAGTTTGAACAGCTGCAAACGTAATGGACAATCCGAACAGGACCAATGATATACCTAGAAATTATAGAAGGCACTAGGAAACATCCATACCTGCTCAAACTGATTAGGACAACATAGAAGAGGGTAAAAGAGGGCGCTACTCAAGTGTTCCTGGGATAGCTATGGTCTTTGCTATGCTATTTATTTGCAGTCTGATTCATCTGAAAAACGAAGTTTCAACTTTCAAGCATTTAATTTACAGTCCTACCCTCGTTAGTATGACATCGGTTGCAAGACAAACCTCATTAGTAGACAACGATCCAAAATCCCATGAATCATTAGCAGTCGTACATGCAAGTCCGGATAAGAGATAATTCGTTTGTGGACCAAATTCGTTATAACGTCCCCTTCAGCTGTCCCACAGGTTTGAATTCTCATTACAAGAAAAAGCGGATGGCCGAGGATAGCTCGATTGATGTTTCATGTTGTCTTGTATCGGGGACCGATGAAAGATTGTCTGATAATGGGTTGTCTTGTACAGGGGTCTGGTGGAAAACACTGTCTAATAACAAGGAAACATCAGTTCTGAGGTGGACACAATATGGATGATGCAAAGCAGCAGAAAAATGTACTCGTTATCGGACAACAAAAGTTGATACCCCCAGGGTTGTCTCCTAACAAGGGTAGACCTACGAAATAGTGGTTGCGACTTCGGCGATGATTGTTAGGAAAGGGTTTGCTCCCCACACTGGAGCTCACGCTATTCCGCCGCCTTGACTTTACACTTGACTGACTGACAGCTGCCACCCAGAGCACACGAGAAGTCCATCCAACCTTCCACTCGGAAAACCTGCAAGAAGGGACCACTCCCTGCTCAATACACAGTGTTTCGGGAAAATTAACCCTCAACAGTCGAGTTTGAGTAGGCTGAGGAAGAGTGTGCCTGAAGAGCACCATTTATATAGTGCTCTCCAGGTCCAAACATCACCAGGGATACAAACTTACAGAGACGCTCCGTTTGAAGCGCGACAAACACCTCGTGAGCACCAGATAGCAATGCGAGTCAGTGTCGCTCCTGGACGGTGAGAGCTGTATATTGACAGAGAGAGAGAGAGAGAGAGAGAGAGAGAGAGAGAGAGAGAGAGAGAGAGAGAGAGAGAGAGAGAGAGAGAGAGAGAGAGAGAGAGAGAGAGAGAGAGAGAGAGAGAGAGAGAGAGAGAGAGAGAGAGAGAGAGAGAGAGAGAGAGAGAGAGAGAGAGAGAGAGAGAGAGAGAGAGAGAGAGAGAGAGAGAGAGAGAGAGAGAGAGAGAGAGAGAGAGAGAGAGAGAGAGCGGGGAGAGAGAAAGAGAGAGAGAGAGTGAGTGAGAGAGGGAGAGAGAGAGAGAGAGAGAGAGAGAGAGAGAGAGAGAGAGAGAGAGAGAGAGAGAGAGAGAGAGAGAGAGAGAGAGAGAGAGAGAGAGAGAGAGAGAGAGAGAGAGAGAGAGAGAGAGAGAGAGAGACACACACACACACACACACGCAAACACACAGAGACAGACAGGCAGACAGAAGGAGAGAAGACAGAGATCCGGGATATGACATCATCATGACATCGGCCGTTGCTGTGTATGTTGGATCCAAGGTAACGAAAAGACGGCACATGGGCAATCTCCATTGTTCGAATTGCGAGTGGCTCTAGATTGTCGTTAGAGGTGTTGGGGCCAGAAACCATGAACTTGGTTTGGGTGGGGGTGGGGGCACACGCACGCACACACACACACACACACACACACACACACACACACACACACACACACACACACACACACACACACACACACACACACACACACATACACACACACCTTCCTTCCTTCCTTCTTCCACTGTCATGACTGGCTATGTGGCCCCATACGGGGCAGACCAGGAGACGTGTTGTCCACCGGGCGGGGAACGCCATACTCAGCGCACGCGGGCCGCACGAACAGCGTTACACTTGTGCCTCGCAATATCCTGTGGCCGACGAAAACTGCGTGCACAAGTGCCACAGATGAGGGGCTTCGCCACAGGCTCCATGCGGGACTGGACAATAGCGTCAACAGCGTCACGGCAGGTGACCCGCCATCCCTGTCGATCTTGGACGATGTCACCAAGCTGCTCCAAAGGAACGCCAACACACAAACACACACACACAGACACACAGACACACACACATACACATACTGTGTACCATTTATATGCCCGTCACAAGAAAAGCACGCAAAGTTGTGGAAGTCAGGTCTCGCTGGACCAACCAGAATGGAGCTGCTACGGGCCTGAGCACGCAGCTTTCCCCATGTTGCAGAAGGCAATGCAGTGCTGCAAGTGGCAGGCAATCCTGCGTGAAAAATTGGCACATACACCTCCATATTATCAAATTCCAACGAGAGAGCTCAGTTGAAAGCTCAGGGCCCTCACTATGCTTTTTTGCCTAGGTTATCATGCATTATGCGATAGCAATAAACAACAGTTTTATTCGGCTGAAATAAAGGATACCAATAGGCCCCACTTGTACTTGGCTGAAATAAATTGTTCATCGTTGTTATTGCATTTAGTTTTTCATTTCGAACTTGCACGAATAAAGAGCGCTTGGGCTTGAAGGCTACAGAGGGCTTGACCGCCCAGGAGCACTCGCTATGCTTAATAATTGCCTAGGTCATCATGTGTGTTATTCGAACTGATAGAAACGTCTTTGCAATACAAAAACATGTGCATGACAATCAAAACTTTAGTTCATAAACGCACATTGATCCATAACTCAAAACTCAATCTCTCAGACAGGTACATTCTACCAAGTAAAAGTAAATATAATAATAGATTACGCTATGGTACTAGCTTATTTCATTTTTTCAAGCCCTGTTTCAACATGTGGCCAGCAGTCTTTGCCAGAATGGTACGGAACATCAACGGAATAGAGCCAGGCTGGTGCGTAACATGATGATGGCCCTACCGACCGCACACCGAACAAGTTCGAGCATGAGAGCATGTATTTTCTCCTGCTGAATGGATGCCTGTGCAGCGGTCTCTAGCTGTCGGCGCGTCTTGTCACGAAGGCGGTGAGTCTCCAAACGACGGGATATTTGCTCCGTCGTTTCTTGCTGTTGGCATAGCCTTTCGCAAGCACGGCGACTCTCGAGGCGGCGGGACCTCTCTTCTCCCTTCTTCTACTCTCTGTGTAGGCACTCCTGCCGACGCCGTCTGCTCAGAGCTTTAACACTGTCACCCCTGTCATTTTACTCTTCTTCACAGTCCTCTTCTAATGATCTCAGCATTCTATTTATACAACAACTACGCCCATTAAAACACTGCAATCTACCTGATCCTTACATTCCCAGCCCATTAGTACCACACCCCTAAACTTTCGACCGATAGTACGACACTTTCTATGGTCTTTTGAAATCAAACCGCGACCATTACAATAGTGCGATCTAAACCATAATGAGCGTTAGCATGCTAACGCAAGTTAGCAGGCAGCCCAGCGAGCTGGCCCGACCTGCACGCATGCGCGAGTCATGTGGTCATGCGCCCTCCAAGATCCTGCACAATGTCTCTTGCATGTCATTGCTGTTTTCGACTTTCGAGCATGCAATTTGCGGAACATGCGTTCCCAAACAATTTCCTCCACAATTGTGCTCGCCCCGGTTTATCTTGCTAAGCTCAATGTTAAAAGTGCATTCTGCCGAATTCCCGTCCGCCCGGAGGATTGGTCCTTGTTGATCCGCTGGCAGGATCAATACTTTTATGAGAGTGCCCTGCCCTTCAGACTGTATTACGCTCCTGTCCAGCTATATGGAACTCTGCCGCATCCGCCAGTGAATGGATTATGTGCTAGCAGTTCGCACTCCTACGCCTGTTGCATAACGGGGAATACCTCAACTAATGTTACTTCCTCAGTGCATGCTCTGGACTTGTGTTAGCTTGCCAGCAATTCGCTATTCTGCTCCGAGCGTTTACAAGTACATACTTCGATGTTTCTCTGGCCCCAGCAAAAGTGGAGGGTCCAGCTCAAGTCCTGGCGTTATTGGCATCATCCCATTACGGGGAGTACCTCGACTAACGTTTCTGTCTCCATGCATGCTCTGAACTTGTGTTAGCTCGCCAGCAGCAACTCGCTACTCGGGGCCGCGCGTTTACATACCTCGGTGTTTCTCTGGCGTCAGTAAAAGTGCTTCCTCAATGCATGCTCTGGACCTGTGTTAGCTCGCCAGCACCTCGCTACTCGGCGCCGCGCATTTACATACCTCGGTGTTTTCTCTGGCGTCAGCAAAAGGGGAGGGTCCAGCCCACGTCCTGATGTTTATCGGCGTCATCCTGGACACCCGCCGCGCTAACATCAGTATGCCTATGGACGAACTTGCCAAGCTTCGTGATCTCCTTTGGGCCACTCTTCACACAGCTTCAACCACCCAATGTCAACTCGAGTCTCTTCTGGGAAAGCTCTCGTTTGCTACAAGAGTGATAGCCCCTGGACGCAAATTGCAGATTGTGGTCACTTGCCAACTGGTACCGGCAGCCGTATTACCTGATCAAGCTCTCCAAAGAGTGCCTCAAAGATCTTCACTGATGGCCTGAGCTCCTGGATTAACAGAACGGCCGGTCCTTCTTCCTGCACCCTTAGTGGACGCCGTCCCCCGGCTTGCTGTTATTCACTGATGCAAGTAGTGCACTTGGCCGGTGCGCGTACAATTGCGACCGGGGATAGGGCGATGGACAGTCAATCAAGCAGAGCAGCAATCGCAAAGGGTTGTTTGCAATTGTGGCAGCCCGCAGCACCTGGGAAAACTAGCGGCATCAGCTGCGAATGCCAATCGATGGGCATTTACAGCAACTGCGAGGATATTGCTCATCAGTTGTGGCTTTGGCCTGGCGTTGTACACCGGCCACTCGTTTCGAATCAGCTGCCGGACTCGATATTCAGAGAGGCGGGAAGGTGGAAAGCGATGTCTGCCCGAGTAACATTCGGACGCCACCTGCAGCCAAAGTACGGGTGGCTGCGGCAATGGCCTCAGCCCATGATATCAAGTTCTGACAGTCTTTACCTAGCTTGCACCGCTTACAGATTGCACGGGTAGCTGCACTTTGTGATCCGCTCCGGGAGTGCCGATTTATGGAATATATGCTCTCAACTGGTTATGCATATTTAGCATTTGGCGGCTCTACTCAGAGTCATTGGCGGCTCCATGCGGAGTCATTGGCGGCTCCATGCGGAGTCATTGGCGGCTCCATGCGGAGTCATTGGCGGCTCCATGCAGAGTCATTGGCAGCTCCATGCAGAGTCATTGGCGGCTCCATGCGGAGTCAATTTGCGGCTCCATGCGGGGTCATTCGGCGGCTCCATGCGGGGTCATTCGGCGGCTCCATGCAGAGTCATTCGGCGGCTCCATGCGGAGACATTTGACGGCTCCAAGCGGAGTCATTTGACGGCTCCAAGCGGAGTCATTTGCCGGCTCAGCTGCGAGCCATCTAGTGGCTCCAAGCAGAGTTATCATACCAGTTGCTCAAATCGGCACTCCCAGCTTAATCCAAAACTTGATTGCTCTCTTGTGAGGTGGGGGGGGGGGGGGGGGGGTGCTAACCTAGGAATGGGTTTGCTCCCCACACTGGAGCTCGCGCTATTCCGTCGACTTGACACTTGACGGATTCACGACTGCCATCCAGAGTCGCAACCACTATTTCTAAACCATACCGCTAATTATTTTAGTTAGCTATCCACTTACCGGTATATCCCTTACCGAAATTGTATTCTTGAACGCGATATTCTTCTTCCTTTTTCCTCTACTCCGTTCCATCAGCTCTCGGCCGATGGCAGGAGATTGGCACCCACTGGGCTAGCATGCAGCAGCCAAAGCTGGGGCCTTTTCTTACTCCGCTAAACCCACTTCTTAAAACGAAACTGACGTGCATATTCACATTGCATTTTGTGAATGTCCCCATATTTGCCCCGACATCTAAGCTCGTACAGCGCTCCAGATGCATCTATGCTACGGTGCGCACCGCATACTCGAATTACGGTACGGGACACATACGGAATACTGCACCAACCATGGCATAGCGTCTTTTGCATAGCTACCGGAATAAACTCATATCCCAAGCATTGCACCTCTGCTAATAGAATAATTCAGGTTACTCCTACTCCATTTCTCTAGTGCTTATTTTTCTGAAAAAAATATCTCTGGCACCAGAATGCTGCCACCAAGAGTACAATAACCAGAGTGTGCAGCCCAAGGAGAATCATCCCACGGCAAAGTTTTTTGTTTAGGTCATAGACTCATAGTAACAGGCTCACCTTTGCTGCATCTCACACCGCTTCACACGGTCATCTACTGTATCACCATGGTAATTTCTGTTGCACATTGCTGCTTGTTTAACAAAAACGCAGAAAACACACCGAATTTCCAGGTAATTACCATGGTGATACGGTACTTTAGCTTGAACCTATTGTATGACGGGTTTTCTACGATTCATAATGACCCAGGGAATAACTAACAGTTAGCAATGCAATTCTTCTGAGGTGTAAAGTGACTTCAGGAATATGTTGCAGAAAACTGCGATGCATGCTGATTATTTACTGTGCCCTATTGTGCACCATATACCTGGTGGGTTACTCAGGGATAAAGTGGATGCACACGAGTACCGTGCATCACGGCACAGGTTAGGTTCGCAACTAACTGCTACAGTGTACTTGTGGTCCGAACTTGCACTCTACTCAGCTCTGCATACGCAAAGAGTGCTGGTGCCGAAATGAACCAGAAGGGTGCTGAGTGGGACGCAACAACACTGACTCTGTATATGTACACAGATATGGTAGGGTATTCAATACCCGCTCTAAGATTTTACACCAACCGGGTACACGTCTACCTGGCACAACTCCTGCAACACTGGGCCAGAGCCAGATGCAATCAAGTGCGGCTACTGTGTGTCAGGGAGTCGTAAAATTACTTTCGACTTCCTGATGTAGTACATTATTGTACATGTACATGTATGAACGTACTCGCACTGGGCACTCTGGCCGCACGCATCTGCACGCGTGTGCAGCCTGTCAGTGACGGTATACCCCTCGAAGTATAAAAAATATAGTACTCGACAGGACTTCCAACCGGGTCGCAGGTAACCCAGTGTTCTTTTTCCAAAAGGTCCAAGTACTCACAAACAGGGCCACTGACCCGGCTCTGGAGCAGACACTGGTAATCTAGGTCCAAGTTTGCACGATTTTGTTCTGACGCTTCATGTGCTTTCATAGCCAAGGTTTCTCACATTCTTCGCAAGCTCTTTTAGTCTTGAGAGTTGACAACTGCTTATGGTTGTGTTGGCTGAAACATGTCAACTAATCTGACAACCGTCCAACCCCATTTTACTGGTAAGTAGTCAGCGAGTGGCTTTGATGGGGCCATACTAGAGGGAAAGTTACGCGGCATATTTGTGCTTCCTTTTTGAAAACACGTTCTCGCTCGAAGGGTTTCTAAACTTTATCCCTGCGCTCATTGATGGAGTTCATCGATGGAGTTGCCAGCGGCACCCTACAGAAGAACAATGTTGTCAAGTTTTTTATGAAAAATTGTCAAACATTTTCAAATTGCTATAAGTTTGGTTAGGGCCGGGTTCCACTGAAGCTCCGCTGCTCCACGGTACTTGGCTGCATGCAGCAGAGCGGCGCGGTTCCAGTGACACTCGCCATTCGAGGTACCTCGATCGTGCTCGACGTTTTTTGATGACATTTAGCGTGCCTGCGCGCGCGTGAAATCCAAAAAAATCCTCGTGTTCTGGCCTGTGCACTGAATCAAAATTCCCCCGTATAAAACAATTAAGTGCGGGAAACAATGCAAGCCGTGACCGCGGCTTGCATTTTTTGTATCAAGCAGCGAAGCGAAAGCTGGTGATGAACCGCGGCCTCGCTGCACCAGCTCGTAATGATGACGTTTCATGCCGTGGATGATGTGCGGCAGAGCGGCAGTGGAACCCAGCCCTAAGGCAAAGGAAATTTGTCAGGAATTTGTTTATGCTGCATAGATGGAGAGCTGCACACTCTGGCTTATGGACTCTCGCCTACAGTGTAGTCGTACTGCTAGTGTACTGGCATTAGACTATCACATGCAGTATACTGTCTGGCAGGAGGACTCAGGAGGGAATATTAGGACTGACAGAAGACACGAGAACATAATTATGGCGAGAAAGTAATCACTGGCTAAGAATTGCCCTAAGACTTACCGCTTCTCAGTGCTCCATACCAGGAAGTAGTACAATACCTACTCCCTGCTCCATAGATCTACGAGTGTTTTCTCCTCATTCTCTGCATCCTTTCCCCAGGAGTGTCGTCCATTTAGCGGCTCAAATACTTGAGCTCCGGATAGCGGAAAATAGCTCGTCTTCCATTAGCGGCTCTAATAGTACCTGGTCTGAAGTGTCGCAGTCTAGCAACTATGATTTTTTTCCAGGAGGGTAAGGGTTGCAAACCCAAAGAGACCCTAAGCTTCGTCTATCAAACAAAACAATTGAATTGCCCTAAAAAATGGAAGAGGAAACGAGTGAGCGAGCTGGTCTGAGCGCGCTACTTTTCAAAAAATAGAAGCTGAAAGCCATCAAAGTCAAAGCATTCTGGCTAGCGCGTTTGTGTATATCACGAGCGCTAGCGCGCTAGTAGTCGCAGCAAACGCTCGCAGGCCAGAGTTAGCGCTATTTGTGCTGTTTGCCGCACGCGGCAGCTGGATGGATCACGTGATCCAAGCTGGCAAATAAGGTCCGATGGTTCAGCTACATTGAGCCACAAGCGTGCCGAATATAGCCGAAATTAAAATAATAGCTGCCGAAAATTTGTATATTTACAGTAGTTAGTTGTAGATCTACGAGACCATACAATAATTATTCCAAACCCTGATAACTACAGCCAGTACAGGGCAACAACTACAGTCATGTACATGTATGTAGACGGCCCTAGATAGACGGCATTGAGCATTGTGGAATTATTTGAGATTGGATATTTCGTGGGTGGAAGTCCAGATACTGTAAACCTGGTAAACCGTCGGTAGTGCGTTTGGCAATGAGCTTAGGCGTAGAACCGCCATCGCGGAGCAGATTCGGGCGATTTGATGGAGAGCACCAGCCACTACTGGTGGATCGTCCGCCAGCGTACGTCGAGAGATTTCCTGGCGATCCGGATAACGATGCACCACCAGCACCACCATCAGCAGCAGGACCCGCAGATATCCAGGCGATAGCTGCAACTACTGATACGGTTCAGGAGCTGCAAATTGAGGATACATCTCGACGGAGTCGAAGAGTGAAAGGGTACGCTAGTCCGAACCTATCCTGAACTGAAGTGACTTTAGAATCGTGCACTCGTAATCAAGGAAATCATCATTCATTATCTTACTGAGGGGCTTTGGCGCAACACAGGGCGTAGGAGCTGTAGTGTAGCGTGTTGATCGTGCACAATATCATGCATGCGCTGTTGACAACAATAAAGCGTACACCAAAGGGGACTGAAATGTTGAGCTTCATAGACAGTTCGAGTACTGTTACAAACAATGACTGATTACTTTCTTTGACAATAAGGCAGCACAATGTTGGATTCTTCCTGACCACTGTACTTCTTCGACATACAAACTGAACTGTCATCACTATACATTTTAGGTTTGAAAACTTTAAAACAAGCATGTTCCGGTTATACTAGTACCAGTTGTAGTATTAGGTTTTTCCTTTGACCCGACGAGACCACACGACCCTTGCAGACGGCAGCATGAACAGTTCACCAGCCACACTCCAAGAAAGCAAGTAGTGTTACTCGTACTCCTGACAAGTCTTGTTTCGTTCCATAAAGATGCTGGGAACTCATCGGAGAAGCAGCTGTTGAATGTAGCGGTAACGATGAATAATTGTATTTTATAGAGAAGATACTGGCGCAAGGTGTGAACACTCAACTATCTCACATATGTGACAGATCAACAAAGAAGGAATAGTGCAGAATGGAGTGGTAATGAACCCTACCTGACATAACCATCACAAGCGCTAAGTCAATCACAATGAGAAGGAGAAATACAGTCAACTTCACTAATAACAACTGCAGATATAAAGACAATTCGCGAATAACGACAGAATCTCCATGCCCGGAGCAAAGTCCCGTCTAACTGTAATACATAATGAGACTTCGGATATATGGGGACACTTCGTGATTAAGGACACTTTTCTGATGCCCCACCGAGTGTCGTTATACGCAAAGTTGACTGTACACACGAATAGGTTGCGCTAGTTTACTCATCACAAAGAGTACTGGGGTGGTTACAAGGATAGTTGAAAAGTAGATGCCAAGTGAAAGCCAACAAATCATCACAGACGTCTAACGTCACATCTGAAGATTGCTAACTACACAAGACAAATACTTTACGAACCTCAAAAATTGAAAATTCAGCGAACGGCAGGTGAAAGGAAGGCTGCTGGGGTGTGACATAGTCGCGAACTGTGGGCTGCTGAAGCGATGTATCCATCCAGATCTTCACTGCAGGGTTGGCGTCTAACGCTATATTTTGAGCAGCAGATCACAGCACGCCTTCTTCTGATCAATGGCAGACTTCCTCGTCCAGGAGAAGTGGAGTGTGGCTGGTGGACTGTTCGTGCTGTCGTCCGCAAGCGTTGTGTGGTCTCGTCGGGTCAAACGAAAACTATTACTACTATTTGACGGACCTATTGAAGATGGCAACAAAGAATTATACAAGTTGTGCCATTCTAATGCAAAACAGCCATCGGCTTATACGCTGAGTAATGCGGCCTATGTCACAGTCACACCCATGTCTAGAACTCTGCCTATGGTAGTATGATTTTACAATGTCAATCCTTTTTCTGCACGATATCCTCGCCTACCTACTGTGCTACGGTGAGTCCATACGTGGGGTCATATTTCAAGTCCACTCATAGGTTAGGGTTTGGGAGTTGTTGGGCACTAACAGTTCAATAGCAAAATGAGACGTGACGTGTCTCGAAGAGTTCTTCTGAATCCCTCTCCCCAGGGGAGATGACCAGTTTCTGGCAGTGAGCAAGTAAAGTGTTATGTGTGTGTTTTTGTGTGAAAGAGAGAACGTTTTTTCAATTCTGTTCTCTCGTTCCTGCTGTCCAAACAGAGCTATAAATCGCATCAATTACTGGGCAGAAAATTCAAACAGCTGTTGGAGAGCTAACGGCCGATTTGTCGGCAAGCACTTGATGACAGTATGTTGTTGCGGTGGTGGACAAGGCTCGCCGTGTGCTGACTTTTGGATATTGGCGTTATACCTGTGGTTCTCTGTGATATGTCCAGGGATAGGTGTGGTAAGTAAATATTGTACTTCAGTAAGCTGTAGTCATGTGCTGCATGTAGCATACCGAGTGTTGCCGTCACAAAGCGTACTCTGAACCTTTGTCAATAGTGTCATGTGACGCTGTTGTGTACTTATGTTGCCTCCCCTGTACCCGTGCATTCACTACTAGTATTTGTTTGTTGAACTTGTTCCCATCCAGAATCTGAGGCAGACAACTGATGTGTACCTCACTTGATTATTGACATTTGCCATGGTCTCACACTGTATTGCCATGAACTCGCGGAGCATTGGTCTTCAACTTCCTCAATTTTGTAGACCACCATGGAAATGTGACCACTTATTTTTTTCCAGTCCTGCACAAGACTGTATGCACCACTAAGCACATCAGACCATCACGTTTGGTCACGTGCAAACGTCTGTTTGGCAAAAAGATTAATCCCATGCATCGGGGGTGGATCTAAATCCGGTAGATCTGGATCCGGACGATACCCATCGATAATTTCAAATGGAGTTGATCCTATGGATCTGGATGAGACCAAACGATCACAGCCTTATACCGAAGTGATTATGACAGTGGCCTAAGAATAGGGTATGACGTAGGTGCGCTCACCAGTCTCAAGTTCTGTTCATGTGATTGCTGTGCTGCAGATTGGCCTGGTGCAGCTTGGCTTTCTCATCATCAACCATGGTGTAGCACTAGAGTGGGCTATACTCTTCAACAATCTCATGGCGCTGGCAAACCTCTGCTACATAGCCGACATTATGCGAAGGAACTACAACCGCTTTCTGACCAATGCATTCTGCATACCGGTACGTCCCGCAGCCTGTGACTCGCTACCTGTGCTTCTAGGGTTCCGCGGTTGCTGAATGCAAGCCGAAGTTTAGTGTGGCTTCTAAGTTCTGACACCGGGCATAGCTGACGTTGAGGCCGGCTAAGCCAGCTGGCTCAGCTAGCTCATGGCAGCTATTCCATTGCCGCTAGTTTAGCTTGTGTATAACTGTTAGCCACAATACTGAATAACCTTCAAAAATTGTTGTTGATCGTGGTAGTGGGTTTTCGTCGTCATCACCGTCGTCGCCCTCAGGGCACGTTCAGACTGCAGATAAAAGTGATAGAATGGGAAAGTTTCCACGGTGATTTGATCATGTGACGTTACAGGCACTTTGCAGGCGAAAAAGTTTACTCCTGTGGCTGCTGTGGTGGAAACAGCATTCTGGCAGTAAAAAAGGTGCTCAGGTTTGAAAAGGGGAAACTCCCTTTTCGGTGCCACGGTGAGAGGTGCACAAGTAACGTTCGTTTATCGGTAGTGCGAATGTCCTTCATGGTTTGACGGGGTACTCGGTAGTCTGAACGCGCCCTTATCATCACTGTGGTTGCTGCTGTTGTTGTATGCAATGTAGATAGCAAGTGGATTGCTTCCAGGGAGCATCAACGCATTCATGACGCTAACAATCAGTAACATCAATCGTGTTCAGCTACTTGGTATCCAGCAACGAAACATTCTTGCATCACAACTACAAGAACGACAAGGTATGTGCAGCCAACTTCAATTATACATGTACCTGGTAGCAGTGTGGCCTGTGGTTGCGGCTTGCGTCATTCACTACACATGCTGGACTAAAAATATTTGCAAGCCAACTTCAGTCTTGTAATGGCATACTTAGCAATGACACCGTGCTCCAAGCAAACCAGTTGTAGCCTGACAGTTAATTAACCTACAGTTTGAGTTGGGCCAGTGCTGGCTACTTCCTCGCACTGAGATAGGGGGGTGTGACTGAGTGCAGAACACTGTTCAGTCTGAGAAGGTGGACCGGCCTTTTCTTCACGATACCAAACTGTAACTGAATGTAATGATCAATGTACACCCTGTGCTCATGGTGCTAGTCTTTGAAGGAGGATGGCCCAAACAGGGGGGGTCTTTTTAGCTGAAAACTCTGTCTATGGCTCTCTATCCCCCTCAGCAACTGTGGATTGCTTTTAAAAACTATTCACTGAACTCGGTTGCTGGTCTTTTTCTTCTGCTGATAGATGCTGTGATCCACGTGATGCTCTACAGTGACCACTATGTCAGCTATGTGTATGGTCGCCCTAAGAAGCAGCTGATAACAGCAATAGTACTGCTGGTGCTGATGACAACTGGGCAAATAGTAGGCATGTGGTGGGAGTGGGACAAGTTCTGCCCCGACTTCCTGGCCAAGATGCTTGCCTAAACTGGTCCATACCTCAATACTGTTACTTGCATGGCACCTGCTTGGTCCGGTATTGATTACTACAACTCTGACAGGCGCAACACAAAAATCTGGTGACAAATTCTGCCATCAGACTCCGATAGATGCGAGTATATACACACATGTAGAAGCATAATGTGCAAACATTGTTGCACGGTATGTGTTATCACGACCACATGATGTGCAGGATGCACCCCACAGTTGAATTTACCAAACAATCTTCTTCAGTCTTAATTAAATTTCACGTTACCAAGCCATCAATTTGCTTCTAACCTGGTCAATCTTTTCTCCACCTGTGCTTGTAGTAACGGCCCTGATTTCACCCGATTGCCGTAAAGAGATGCTCACGGTCCTCTCTCTCTCTCTCTCTCTCTCTCTCTCTCTCTCTCTCTCTCTCTCTCTCTCTCTCTCTCTCTCTCTCTCTCTCTCTCTCTCTCTCTCTCTCTCTCTCTCTCTCTCTCTCTCTCTCTCTCTCTCTCTCTCTCTCTCTCTCTCTCTCTCTCTCTCTCTCTCTCTCTCTCTCTCTCTCTCTCTCTCTCTCTCTCTCTATTCCCGCTGTGTTCTTTCCCCGTCAGGAAAATAAAGTTTATGCTATGAATAGCCTATGATTGGAATATCGTTTTCTTCGGTGCATCCCTTAGAGCAACTATTTTTTCTCCTTTTTTTTACTGCCTGGCCGTGCATGCTGGCTCGTGCAGCCAGTGCTGTGCTCACAATGATGATCTTTTCTGCTGCAGCTGTAAGCAGTCATTTCTTCCTATCGGTCACAAGACTTTGTGCTGTTGAGTTTCTACAGTCCATTCATCGGAAACTGGCCCGCTGGCTTTTGAAAGTCGGATTTGGGCGGAATTGAGGATCAAAAACCCACTTTAAATTTCAAAAATCTGGGTTTTGGATCTGCTTCTCCATACATTTTGCCATGGCAAACCTGTCCTAATTTTGTAAAACCTGGCTGAATTTCTATTTCCCTGTTCTTGGACTTTTCTGGCCTCAAATGTGGCAAGGAGTAATTGCACGGGTCACACAATGCAGGATGTACTGTTGATTTCACGATATCTACAACTATGTGAGAGAGACACCAAAAAGTTAGGGTGCCAGGTTCCATGTAAAGCTCCTTTCCAACATAACATGCCCTTTGCTGCCCTTGGCACAATGATAAAATGCTGACAAGAAAGACTTAGTGCTTCTGCTAAATACCTAAATGTTCACACTGAGCAAGGAAGTTTTGGGACTTTGCTCATCCTATACAGTAACACTATACTATACCACCAAGCAGGAATTCAAGCAGGCACGTCAAATAGCTACCGCACGCACTTTGACGGATCAGCTGGGAACACGCGCTGGCAGAACGTCATGAGTCGCTTCAGCGCTTGGATATACTTGCGCTGTGTCTCGTCGTTGAGCACGTGTGCAACGTGCTGTGCGAAAATCTTCTCACGGCCAGTACGCGCGTGAATACCAACCATAGTGACACCGATGGGCCAGGCCGCATTGCCTATGGCCATACGCAGATACCAATCACCTGCCACCACATACTGCCTCTCGACCATGTACTTGCCAATGAGGGTCAGCGACGGTAGGATGTCGGGCGGCGTGCGACGCTTGCGCAGCAACTTGAGCAGCGGCTTGAGGTACGACTCTGTCTGACTGTGGATAGCACTGTCTAATCGGCCTGCCGGGCTTTGCTTCACTTCCTTGGGTCTATCGTTCAGCTCTCTGGCATGCAGTGCCAAGATGAACTTCAAGTACTTGAGAAGAAACGCTTGGTCGTGAATATCATCGCCATCGTGAGCCTTCTTGGACATCTCAACGATATTCTCCATGGTGGTATCATCATCAGCCTGCATAGCTGCCGCACTGGCTATATCTTCTTCTGCTGTCGTTGGGTTCTGCTCACTCTCATGTCGCAGTAGCTCAGCTTGCTCCTCCGCCTCGATTTTGTCCATAGCAGCTTGGAAGTCGTTTCTTAGACCCTTAGTTACATCAGGAGTCAAGATTTCGATGCGTCTCAACCGCTTGCATGCTTCTTCATCACTTTCAGCAAACAAGCGAATAGGTTCATCACGATCACGCAGCCGACGGATAACTTCATTACGTGGCAGTAGAACAGCCTCTTCTTCACCAGGCATCATATCTGTAGGACTGTTTAAATCCTCTGCATGTCCTCCTCCGACTTCTCCCTCTGCATTTTGCTGTGAATCGACATACTTCTTTCGTTTCGCAGCACTTTCTTCTTGTTTCTTCAAGTACAACTCACGCTGTGCAGCAGCAAGTTCGCTTCGCTTGAAAGACTTTTGCCCATCCTTCAGGTCAACAGTTTCTTTGACCTGCTTTCGTTTCCTGGCAATTTCAGCCTTCAAGAAGTCCATTGTGATTTTCGAAGACCATACTGCACTGAAAGATGTACGGATTGATTTTCAAACCAACAATACATGAATGAACATGTGAACAAGAGAAAGAAAACTGTGTGCTGTTTCGTAGTTTTGCTTGGGCGATGATGTCATGTACTGTTCAGGTTTAAACGTTTTTTGTGAAACGCACATGCGACACGTAAGCTCGTAACACGCCACCTAAACACGGCCCTGTGAACCTAGTGATAGTGGTTTTATTTGAGTGATACTAATCAAATTATTATCCTAAATCGAGGTGTTTCCCAGCTTCCGCGTTGTGCATGAGTCATCGACATGATGTACAGCTACAGCCTACAGCACTGTACAGCATTGACTGCCAGGGAGCCCTAGTACAGGCTACACATATGTAGGGCTCCCTGATGTACAGTACTTCCACAAAACAAGCAAAAAGCAGGAAGTGACCAAGTAAAGAAGAGAACCTGATCTGATCAGTCGACGAACTACTCGCATTAGTGCATCGACGAGAGACGTTGTTGTAGGAGAGATGCAAGATGCTAGTTCTCCCTGATGTTGGTCTGAAAAGACAATCCCGAGTCTGAAACAATGAACGTGCCTGTTTGAATGAATCTCTCACCTACTGTAGTACCTACACTCTACAGTGCAGTGTTGTAGTTGTACTCATTCAAGACAAACGTGCAAGCAGTAGAGTTGAATGATCAAGTAACACGATGGCGATAACTTCAACGTTCATAGTGATTTGTTTGAGTGTCTTCCCCGCTGCAATAGTCTGCCATCGCAGCCATGGAATGCCTGGCACCAAGCCAGATGCAGGGAGTCCCTGGGCGAATGTCTGTGATGATGGCCAGGTAACAACCTCGCACATAGTCGCGCAGATTATTATTATTATTATTATTAGCTGATACGTTTATTACTACGGGTGTCTTGATTCTTGGAGATACGGTAGTGTCCTCTGTGTGATTGTCATTCACATGTACCAGGTAGATCTGTCAGCCTGGCACCAAAGTGCAGTTATTAGCCAGATACATGATGTAGTGTGCAATGAATCCAATAGCAATGCCAAGAGACTGTTCATGATTCATTTTAAATAGAATGTGCTTGACAACATTCAACACTATAGCAGGGAAATTGTGGTTAAACTAGGGGTGTGCACGGGTAGTCGGGTGCCCGTGCTACCCATAAAGACCTCGGATAGACGGGTACAGAATAATACCCGAAAACCCGAAGTCGCAGATGACATCATGCACAGACAGTAACAGTGCACGTGTACAAATTCATGTAATACTCCGCATGTCTACCCAGTGTGTAAGGGAAGGGGTGCATTGTGGTGTTACCATGGAAGCATTACCCGATCGGGTACCCGTGCTACCCGTGGAAAACTACCCGAACCCGAAGAAAATGCTACCCGACTCAGCACTAGGTTAAACACACACCTGGTGAAATGGCGGTAAATACACGCCTGCCCATACAGCGTTCTCTTTAATTCTGGCAAAGAGTGCTCCTCGCTGTGTAATCCCCTGTGCGCCAAGCGCTAACTGATGTACCAGCCAGCTATGTGGGCATCACCAGCCATGCATTGACTAGGCGCCACACCCACGCACAGATCCTTGCGGCGAGAGAAGGAGTGCTCTTTGCCAGAATTGTGCAGCTTTGAGAGTGCCGTGTGGGCAGGCGTGTGTTTATCGCCATTTCGTTAATCACCCTCTCTGCTATAATAAATTATGATGCTGTATTGGAGTTTTCAACAATGCTATGTAATTTTTTTTAAGATTGGTGAAATATGTGCTGGCTTCTGAGGACAATCACAGTACAACACACACCGTACTTGGAAGCACTTGTGTTTCTCCAGTCAGTGTGCTATGTAAATGTGCTCCAGGAAACAGAAGAATTGGCAAGTGCACCTGGCTATTTCGCTTTTAGTTTCCTTAAATCTTTAGTATCCTTCCTTTCTATGCTCTATTCTGCTTGTCAGACTGGCGTGGAAAGTGACTTCATGATGGTGGATGAATCACACTGGACGTGCCAAGGACCCTTTATGAGACCCAAAACAGTGAGTGATCAATCACTGATTATTGCTCTCCAGTGTATGAGATAATGTTTATATACATTGGAACGTGGGGTCACCGTAATGTTACTACAGGTCAGACCTCGCTATAACGACCCCCGCTATAACATAAACCTCACTATAACGTACAAATGTGAATGTCCCTGCCGAAACCGCATCACTTCTGTACAAAATTTCCTCGCTATAACATAATCCGCTATAGCGTAATGTTCGCTATAACGCACTGTTTGCTGGGTCCCGGGCGCGCGGAGACCTCAGCATAACGTAAAAACTCGTATAAAAATGACTATGTACACGGCATGCGCATATGCATGCCTTCTCGCGACGAATTCGAGACTGAGCCGTCCACCTCGGAAGCAGGGAGTAGTAAAATACCGGTATTTTACTACTCCCATTACTTTTTATAGGCTCTAATCGTCACATCACGACTCACATGTACCAGTACACGCGCTACATGGCTCTTGTCACCCCTTTGCTGACAAGCCTGTAGGCTGTACACATGTGCACATCTTTGCTAGTCATCATCATACTTGTATGTAAAACAGTACAGTTGTAATCAGTAAGTGAAGAGCGTCATTTTGACATACTTATTGCATATTGGTGTGCCCAACTCACTATAACATAAACCTCGCTATAACATAATTTCTCCCATACCCCAGAGATTACGTTATAGCGAGGTCTGACCTGTACTACAGTAGTAACTTACTACATACATGAAGAGCTTGAGATGCGAAACCCGATAAACGCCGAATTTGGGAAAACATGATTTTCAGCTCAGTGAAATCGAAAGGTCGACCGCACATAAAATGAATCCTTCTTTGGCCATTATCCGAAAAGTGATGAAATGGATTTAGCAGGCTATCTCAGCTCTTCACATGTACATGATTGTACTGAGAGTTGTGTACTGTAAAAGCATGCCAAATTGCCAAATAGTTTAAACACTTCAAACTTTCAAAGTAGTAGTACACGTACTGAAGTACATGACTGTACTCAATCTGTGGACAGACCTGTTTCGTTCTTTGGGGACTCGTCCATGCAGCACAGAGAAAATGAGTCCGAACCTGTTACATGCAACAATGAATACTAAACTGCACTTGTACCTGTATTCTTACTGCTATCAATATGCAGCACTTGAAGGCTGTGGTGGAAGACAAGTGCTATGCAATCGAGAAGGTAGGCTCTTGAGCTAAGATCTCTTTGCCCGCTGTTATCACTGTTGTTCCTTGCGTAGCCACATGTACTTCTGGTTCTGCTTTTCTTGTTGTGCTTCTTCTGATACAGTCAAGGTGCTAGAAAAGTATATGACAAATTTAACCCGGAGTCGTTTACCTCTTGGTGAAATCCAGCCGAACTGGCACCCTGGACCAATTCCAATGACACCACTGTATTTGTACATGTGCACATGCAGCAGCCGCATTCGTACCACATCTAGTTCTAGGACATCAAGGGCCGTGCAAGTTGAGGGCGCCGAATATCCGCTTTAGTTCGTATTCACCCAGCGCAACTGCAGTAAACTGTATGTTATCAGTATGCTTTTGGCCTTGTTCTTGGTGTGAATTGCAGCCTAAACACATTTGTGTCGGCGGTAACGTGACATACTCCACTAACCCGCCACTGAGGTGAGTTGTGGATAGACACTACTTTGACATACAGGCACGTGTAGTGAATGCTCCAATGGCCGGGTCAGCAACACAATTGGGTTACTTGGATCTGTTTAAAAAAACAAATACCCGGTCCGGTCACTTGTGACCCGGTTTCTGATCATTCTTTTCTAATATTTATTTCATTTATTTATGCACCTTGCGCTGACACCATGCGATAGTAACGCCAACACTCAGTAACGGACAGGGCACTCGGCAGCCATGTTGTTTAATAGACTGAATGTCTAGGTTTCTACGCAGTATATGTGTTGTAGAGTTAATGGATGTGTGTCTTCTAACCCATTCTGTCCTACACAGTGGTGGTCATCGTCCCTCCTGGCCGGTGTATGGCGAGTATAAATACCTGCCAGCTCCGCGCTATCTCCATGGTATGGAGGTGAGTAGTGCTGCTGGCCTGTAGTCCACCGACAACAGGGAGTAGTAAAAATGCGGGTATTTGTACTACTCCCTGCCGACAACGCTATTGTCTGTTATATAAGGTCACTAATACAGGCATGTAAGTGTTAGCTGGAGGAGAGACGGGTTACTACCCTATCCTTGCTAGATCTCTCAATGCTATATGACGGGTTACTACCCTATCCTTGCTAGATCTCTCAATGCTATATGACGGGTTACTACCCTATCCTTGCTAGATCTCTCAATGCTATATGACCGGTTACTACCCTATCCTTGCTAGATCTCTCAATGCTATACATGTACCAGTATTCAGGCAGTGATACCAGTAGTGCAGTAGTGCAGTAGTGGTATTTGTCGAACGTGAACATGAGAAACGAACTTCCAATGACCAAAGGCCTTGACTCTGATAGTACCAGTGATTGGCATGCTGTGCTGTGTTTGCAAGAAGTAGCTGGCCTCTATCAGATGACTATTGTACTGTATGCGGATGTGTGTGTGTGTGTGTGTGTGTCTGCGCGTGTGTGTACGTATGTGTGTGTCTGCGCGTGGGTGTACGTATGTGTGTGGTGTGTGTGTGCATGTGTGTGTGTGTGTGTGTGTGTGTGTGTGTGTGTGTGTGTGTGTGTGACTGTGTGTGTGTGTGACTGTGTCTGCGTGTACATGCATGTGTGATCAACAGCACGGAGCTATCGTCATGCTGTACAATCCGTGTGCATCACCAAATGACGTAGCACGGCTGAAGCGAATCGTATCGGGCTGTTTGCGACGACACTTGATCACACCATATGTCAACCTTAGTACAGTAAGTTATGGTGATGACGGTATTGTCTATTGATGTCCTCATTCACTTCCATGTAATTGGGCTTGTAGGCCGTGTGTACTTGCAAATTCAAATGAAAATATACATACATACATGTCAAGTGTGTGTGTATGTGTGGATGGGTGCCTGGGTGTGTGCGTGCGTGCATACATATGCATGTGTTTGAGTGTACGTACATGTACGCACTGTCATCCATGGACCATGTGTATTTGCACTATCAACGGAGTGTTTGTCTCTCCTGTTCTTGCATTGTCAACTCTCCAGCCATTGGCCGTCCTCTCCTGGGGCTGCATACTGCGCTTGAACTATGTGGACGAGGCTGCAGTGCAAGCGTGGATACAGCTCCATGCCCTGAACTCTGGGCGCGAATCTGGTGTGTACGCCGATGGCCAGTATACGCATGAGCTTCTCAAAGTCACCATGGTCGTGTCGGATATGAAGGACAGGCATTTATGTCCAGGAGCAGGAAAAGCTGCTGGCGGCCAGATAGCGAATGGCAAATCCACTGTTGCTAGCAGCACTGTCCGTACCACCATTAAACCGGAACCAGGTACAGCCACATTTACCCTACACACTACCACCACTACCACCAGGCACACAGTATCGGCGGCAGTAGAGAAGTCGCAAACAGCTACACACAGAGCCTCTGTCAGGACTGGGTCGCCAACTGCAGCCAAAAGCACATTGTCACCTGCACAGAATCCTGTTACAACACTAGTTCCCAGTTCACCTGAACTCCAGACAACTACTGTACACGTTGCTGAAACTGAGCAACGAACTACAACACGGGAAATCCCCACTGCCACCGAGACTGAGAGACAGACTAGAACACAGGGAATCTCCACTGCCACTGTGCCGGAAATGTCCCAACCTGAGCATCATCTACATGCCACAGTGCAATCTGTTGAGTTGTCACGACAAGCCACGGCCACATCTAAGGATGTTGCACACCACACACAGACTGGCACTATAACTGCTGCTACTGGTAGCTCAACCACCCCTAGGAGCAGAGTAGCAGCAGCAGGGAGAGTGAATCAAATGTCACAATCCACAAGTAGTAATCGTCCAACGGGTGCTTCCACTACTGCACCGAGTTCCTCCAGTGTGTTGGACTCGCCGACTTCGGCAGAACTGAGCAATGACACCGGTCTAGTGAACCACTGTGTCAATCATACTCTCCATCATTGCCTGCGCAAGATCGCCACGTCCAAGTCAGTCTGGGCTGCTGTTGCTATTCTCTTTGTTGTGCTGGTGGTCACTGCTGGCTTACTGTGCATGCAGCGGCAGAGAACGGCATCAGCATTGTGCTGTTGCTTACGCACACGCTACATCATGGCCAATGAGAAAGTACTGGCGTATGAACAGCGCGGCAAACACAAGCAACCCCTGACGCAGCAGTTCCGCCATCTCTCAACGCAGATCAATGGCCGAAGCGGACGGAACGGTGGTGCCAACTATGTCAAGCTGCAGCAGGACGAAGAGGATGATGATCTAGTGTGATGTGCACTGGTGTGTGTGTGTGTGTGCGTGTGTGTGCGTGTGTGTGTGCGTGTGTGTGTGCGTGTGCGTGTGTGTGTGTGTGTGTGTGTGTGTGTGTGTGTGTGTGCATGTATACTACAGTTATGTTCTGGTCCATATCCAGCTAGAAGAAGACCAGGGATACATAATATACATACAGTCGTGTTGAGTAGTCAGTGAGCTGGCACTGCTTGAAAATGCTTGCTGTTCCGTACCTTGGGTAGTGGAAATCGTCGCCAGCTTATGCACAGTCACAAGTCACCTTTTGGCCAAGTTCACTTTCACTTGGGGCCTCATTCTGAAGGCCTGGCTTTGTGAACTGTGTTCATCTCAACTCTTTACGTTCATCCATTGCTTGGCTGTATCCATGTCTCAGGGTATTCATTGCTCATTGCTGCATTTCCTCTCAACAGATTGTCTCTATCCCGAACTATTCTTAGTTAATTTCAGCTTGTGTTGAGTTACTTCTTGAGAACAACTAAACATACTTGAGGGCAAGTGCTTGTCCACTTGCCTTGCCACCCATTATATTTTTTTAGCAGACTTTTATTCGGACATACCCATAACCGTTTTTTTGCATTCCACCCCTAGTTTCTTTATGTAGCAGTAGGTAACTGTAAGAACATGTTGACCTCCTCGTACCAGGACACAGGGCGAGCACACATGACGAGTGCATGTATGCATGTGTGCGTGCGTGTATGTGTGTTTCTACTTTGATTTTATTGATATTTCAAAAGCAAATAGCTGCCTATCACAGGAATCCCAAGGGTGCACATGCACGCGGGCATGATCAGTTGCATGGACAAGTGGTGAAGGCCTTAGCTACATGCACATAGGTACCGGTACAGGTATGTGTGGTGAAGGCCCTAGCCACATGTACATAGGTACAGGTATGTGTGGTGAAGGCCTTAGCCACATACATGTAGGTGTCGGCCGATTTACACGACAACGATTGAAAAACGTTTTCAAAAGAAATTTTAAAGAATACGCTTCCACAGATTTTGATCAGAGCGTTTACACGACAATACTGAAAAACTTATCAAAAACGTTTCGAAGTGTTTTTCAATCGTTTTCGTTCTCGTGTAAACGGCAAAAACGTTTTAGTACTACGAGCCTTGCCGCCGCCAGCCAGCCTGCGCCAGGCCAACTTATTGCACGTGACCATTGCCGGCCGAAAACGCGTTGCAGTGTACACGCTTATCGTTTTCGTGTAAACAGCAAAAACTTTTTTCAATCGTTGTCGTGTAAATGAGGTCTTAAAAGGTACTGGTACAGGTATGGTATTATAATTATAACCCAATACTAGTTCAGAACTAGTATTAGATAAACCTTGGTATAGTTCACGCATATTGTTAGATTGGCAGCTCTGCCAACCACGGAAGGTTGTATTGGTCACTGTTTCCGAACACAGTGTCCTCCACCTTGTTTCATGCTGTCAATCTAACAATATGGTACAGGTATGTGTAGGAAAACATCAAGACAGTATAAAAATTATTCGAAAATATACATGTACCGTCGTGCTCTGAACTCAACAAGATGGTGTGACGCCAGAAGAAAAAAGAGCTGAGATGCACCCTGCATCCTTCAGACGTTCACCACCCGACATACTAGAGTCTTGACTTGTACACAGACACGCATAAGATACAGCTCCAGAGTCTAATCTTCTCACCTACTGAAATACTATCACCAGAGCACTAATACTGAAGCTGCACAGCTGTCCACGCGTACACGGGGAGCTACAATCAATGGTACATAACCCCTACACGGGGCTATGTTACACCCAAAATAGGGGCTGCAGCAGGGAGCCCTACCCATACGTATGTGTATGGCTCCATGGGCTGCAGTAACTCTCCAAAGGGAGGATTGGGACATTCGGTACAGTCATTTCAGTACATGTACTTGCGTGTCATCTGCAAGGTAGGAGCTTCTAGTCACATCTGTTCGGATTTGTTAAAGGCAAGACGCTCGAAAATCGGTCAATGCAAACTACTGGATTCTCGAAGGAGAGAAAGGCGTGAAAGTGAATAGGATGTACTTTAAATAGGCTGAAAACAAGCACACAGCAAACACACGTGTGACATGGAAAGCAGGCCAGCCAACAAACAGTGCGGCATAGAACCATGGTGCGCTGAGTCTTTTACAACTGTCTCTGTAGAAGATGAGGCAGGTACAGTATTGGAAAGCGGATGATCAGATCACGATGGTGGATGAAATGAGCAAGCAAAGGCCAGCTTTGACTTGCTCACAGTTTCTATAAGCCAGTGTGGTCTCATGATATTTATGTGTTTTGATATGAGCAGTAATGCCACGGGACTGCAGCCACTGCCACAAGAGACATCAACGTTGCCGTGCTCTAAAAGTAAAAACGAAAATATGTAAAAATAAAAAAATAAAAAAATCTGTTCTGCATTCCTGCTGAAAGCATTACAGCACAGGATGCAGGTCTCTATTAAGAACACACACGCCCACACATTCGCACACACATGCACGGTGGCGCTAGCAAAAAAGTTAAAATTAATTAAAAAAAACACACACACACACGCACACACACGCACACCTGTATACACACACGATGCCAGCCATGACATCGTCAGACATGCTGCAGAGAAGAGCAATGGGTGGAGTAGGCACTGGAGCGAGCACTGAAGTATTAGTAGTGGCGCTGTCATGTTTGTAACTTCAAGCACTTGTCAATGTGCACATTCAGAGCAGTGTTGTTATACTGAGGTGGAAATGTGCGCTGACAAACCGGACAAGTACCACCGCCATCCATCACACTGGTGCTGCTAGACCCACGGGCTTCTTCTCCTCCGCTGCCACTACCACCCCCACCGCCGCCACCACCACTGTTGCCATCACTGCTTGCGGTGTTAGATGCCACCTCTCGCTTCTTCTTGCTGAGCGATGGTGCTCTGCCAAAAGCAGAGCTCAACGAAGACTGTTTGTGCCGCTTTGGTGGAGCTGCCGCTGATGCACCGGAGTGTTTGGTTTTATGTGCGGTGATAAGAACAGCTGGAGACACGACTTGCTGCCTAGGGCTGGACATGGTAATAACACAATCATCAGTATCCTTGTTGCAGTCCGCCGCTATTGCAGCACGATTTACAACTGATCTGCAAGCAGTTCTGGAACACTCTGGTGCCGATGCACTTGCAGAGCTGCATCCCTCACCATCGACTTTGACCGCAACTTGCACACCAGCATCTTGAGGCACTGGGTCAACTGTGGATGTGGCTTGAGTGCACTTTGCCACCGTCTTGGGTTTGAAAAAGGAGCGAATGGACGGGGGTGGATTCATAGCCCTTTGCAGGCAAAACTGAGACACCGCACCGCATGGCTCAATGTGTGCTTGTGGAGCGCCTGATGATGTAGCAGCAGCTGAGTCTTTTCCGGATGCATTGGCTGCTTGGCTAGCACTCTGCACTGTCACAGGTGGCTGTGAGGCCAGCAGCTGGGTAGCAGATAACTGTGACAACGAGACATCATCAGAAATGACTTGTGTTTGTGACGGCGCTGCGGCTGCTTGGGTGGCTGCCTGCGCACCAGTAAATCGATTCTGAAAGCGTAGGAAAAAATGCAAACAAAACTCATGGGGTACAGCTGGCTGGCAGCATTGGCAGGCATGCATAGTCTTTGTGGGATGTAAAGATGGGATTGAAAAAATTTGAAATAGACAGGAATTTCAAGGACAGATAGGAGAGGCGAGATTCAAACAAAGAAGAAGTTGTGCATGTAGTGTGTGTGTGTGTGTGTGTGTGTGTGTGTGTGTGTGCGTGTGTGTGTGTGTGTGTGTGTGTGTGTGTGTGTGTATGTGTGAGTGTGTGTATGTGTGTGTGTGTGTGTGTGTGTGTGTGTGTGTGTGTGTGTGTGTGTGTGTGTGTGTGTGCCGGTCCTTTCAGGACCTGCCATCTTCTCCGGTGGGAATTATTGTATTGTATTGTATTGTGTGTGCGTGTGCGCGCGTGTACGCACACATATGTGGGGAAATGCAGGGGTGCCCATTCCGGCTGCAGAAGTCGTTTTTAGTCGAACATATCCGGCAAGTCCTGAATTCGTTGTTCTTTTTTCGGCGTGCAGGGAGGGGTGGTGGGGGTGTAGGATATTCACATGCACAATGGCATGTACGCTAGTACTAGTAGCATACCTGTACAGTGTCCCTGAGAAAGTAGTCCACCACCATAGGAATCAAGTCCTCTGGGTAGCGCAGTCCAATCAAACGCTGGCCATCATCCAGCTGTACACGCACTACTCTCAAGGATTTCTCTCCTTTACTGGTGGTACACAAGCAAGAACAACAAGTGCAGGCAGGCAGAGATAAGAAGACTTGAGCTCACGTGTCAGCACTCTAGTGGAAAGACGACGTCACAGCACGGGGAAGAACCACTGTCAAAGTCACCTCACCTCAATTCCAGCTTTCCAATGTATCGATTCATGGTAGTTTCCAACGCTGACCATAGTGATATGATCCCACCTGACAGAAGTCCAACTCGCGACATACGACAACCCACTGGAAAACAAGTCAACACACAATGCCATACGGGAAACGACTGAAACCAATGGTACAAGCGGAGAAAACACGTGAGATCCACACGCCGTGACTAAATTCAATGTGAAGCAAAGCTCTGAGCTGTGAGCCTGAGTACCAGTCAGCATTACATGGGGTAGATTTCCTAAACTACACTCCACAAAAATTCCAGATCCACATACTCCCTCACATCACACGAGGATCTAGTTGCACTGAGGCAGCTCGCCCAGGATCGTCGAAAGTGGAAGGAACTAATGTGTGCTGTGTGTAGTGGCTGAAGTTACACAATTACACTAGATACTCTAACAATAATATCGGATACAATAGACCCTTTGCACAATAACGGTCACGTGATCCGAGACGGGGCATCCTCTTCGATTTTTGTGCAGAGTATCAGTTAGCGGTGAAACGAATATTCGAATATTCGAACATTCGTTCGGTTTGTCACATTCGAATATTCGTTAAGTCACATTCGAGTATTCGTTACGTCACTTCGAATGCAGTGCCTGTGCATACATGCACGCCGAACACGGTGCAGTGCAGTGCGTACAGCCTGCCTGTGACTTTGTACTGCATGTATGCATATGTATGTGCATACTGGACTGCCAATGTTGCACATAACATGTATGAACTTCGAAGTAGCCTTATGTGGCAGTACATTTTACGTGGCACTACCGTTTGTCATACCTAATAATATATTAGTATTGACAATATCCATCAAATGACTGAGAGGAGAGGGCATGTGATGTCATCTGTGTTACCAAAAGAATATTCGTTCATTCGTTCGTTAACCCTTTATGGACGGATTACTAGCACAGTACGCACCAGAATTACAAAATGTCAGTACAATTTTCAACTTTACCATGTCAAAACTTTGGTGTCCTTCACTTGATTTTCACAATCAAGGGCTCATTGGAAAGCTCTTGACGAGAGCAACGCCAGGGTACCAATCTCCATTATCCAGCCGCCACAAATCAGGCGCGGTAACACAGCAAAGTCGTCTCCAAGCCTGATATGCAAGCAAATTCGTCCCATCAACGCCATTCCACTCTCCTTCATCGCAGAACGCTCAAATCTGTTTGAGACGATTCAAACTTCAGCCGGCTACGTCATTATCATGTGCCGAGCCGCTCAAAGAGCACACGAAAAGGGATTTCCCCCCAAAATGGCGAAATGATTGATCAAAAAATTTGAATTTGCCGAGGTAAGAATACGGCGTGCGATATCTCTGGCGTCCGACATTGTAACTCTTCGGCGATTGTTGCATTGGACAGCTTGGAGTTCCCGCTACCACGTAGACCCTTCGATTGTGGAATTTGCTCAAGAAACAATGGAGTTACGAAGTTACGAAGTTTCGATCTTATTAGATCGAAACTCGTACAGTCCGTCCACAAAGGGTTAAGCTGAAGAATATTCGGCTAGTAGGTTTTGACATTCGTTTCACCACTAGTATCAGTTGTTGAGCATGGTGGAACACTGTATTTTTCCATTTTGGAGATGGAGGGGAGAGTGTCGAGTGGTTTGCCATCGATGGCTGTGGAACCCGTGGACGAACTGTCCAATGAAGAATGGTCTGTGAAGGAACTGAACAGTTTTCTGCTGAATGAGGGTGCGTAGCTGTCTGGAAAAAGAAGGAGTCGTTGGAGCGGTAAGTCTTCCGCATTCAGTGGATATTTCGGATTACTGTACTGCAGATTGAAATATTTTTCGCTTCTCTACCTTCTCTCCTCTGTCGATGTAGAGAACACACACACACTTCTCTATGCAGAACCCTGATGCTCCTAGAACTAAGAAGGGCACCACTTCCTCGAGTGTACCTTCATCATGCCCAACATTTCATGCGTCCGACTCCCAGTGGATGAGTGATGAACCTCTGTTTCCCAGAGTGAGTGCCACACCATGCTTGCTCGTCTCCAACGCAGGGGCAAGTCGCCGACGACAGTGAAGAGGGAGCTGATGGAGTAGTACTAGTGAACAAGCCCGTGGATAGTGTCCATGAGTTTTACTTTGGTGGCTATGTGCATAATGTGAAAGTCGGTCATATCGTGCACGCAGCCACAGCTCGAACTCAGATGACTTTCTCCGCACACCTGAGCGATGAGGCTGCGTCTTTCTCCACTTCAACATCAGCAGCTCGAGCAGCGCCAGCAAGCAGTCGATCTTCCAATAGCAAAGACAGGGATGGGTCATGCCTTTTCCTCAAGCTCCAGAGTCTCTTGGCAGGGCGTTCAATATCTTAGCAAAAGCAAGGATGAAAGTCGTCATGGACAAAGTGTTCCGAGCACAACACTGTGAACGATATCGCAGCACTGCGGCCCTCTTCTCGCCAGATAGCCAGGATTCCAGAGTGCGGAATGCCAGCATCACCAGGGAACGCATGGAAAGACAAGTGGGTTCCTTAGACTAACGTTAGGGATGACGGTTGGTGCAAACAAGAACCCAGAAGTGGTCCTTGGAAAGCATTTCGAAACTTCTTCCTTCAAAAACTAAAAAAACTTCAAATGTAAAAAGGCTGGGGAGTACATACATGAACATCACGTCGGGACCGTGAAAACACAGCCTGTCACAGGAAACTTGATCACGTCCTGCAGCAAACCATGCATGCTGGTTGCATGCCAAGTGTGCAGCGCGTGCACAGCATGCCCCGTCTCGACCCCTCTCGCTTATTGTGCAAAGGGTCTATTACACTAGATACTCTAACAATTTTATCACTAATTATGATAATAATTACCACATCAAATGCTGCAGAGACCTATCCAGAATCGGCAATATGCTGGCCCTGGCCTGGAGATCTGCAACTGCAATCGGTTTCTACTTTGCAATATTAACGGATTAGTCCCCTTTGTCGATTGATGGATCAATCGGAACCAACGCATTCGTCACTCCGATTAGTAACTTCGGATCTGCTCTGTTTTGTTTTGAACTGTATACGTATGTTTAACTCATTGTATTTCTTTGTATTCTGTATCTCGTTATCGTTATCTTTTCTTCTAGCCCTCTCGCTAGGATGAGCTTTCTTTTTTTATGGCAGCTTAAGCGAAGGCTATATACCTGCTTTATGCAGGTTGATGCCAACGCGAACAAGCAAAATAATAATAATAATAATAATATTGACTGGTTAATAATAATAATAATAACACTCCACAACCGTCTTTTAAAATACTCATAAAATAGTTGCTGCACACAGAGAAAGAAACCTGAGACGATATCGACGTTTCTAAACCCATTTGTCCATACAGCAGCTGCAGACTCACCAGTCCTGTCCTGTAGAGCCACAGCCACAGGGGTCACGTGGGCCCCCGGACGGGCATGGGAGAGGAAGATGGAGTCGTATTTTCCGGGGTGCTAGCTGCACTTTGAAACGCTTAAAAAAAACTCAAAAATCGCCCCTGCGAATGCTGGCCACCCACCTTTGCAAGAGGATCCGAGCTTGCAGTCAGAGTGGATGCAGCGATCTAGTGTGTGCTCATATTGCTTTCTCCAGCCAGACTCTGCAAACACACACACACACACACACACACACACACACACACACACACACACACACACACACACACACACACACACATATGCCCATTGCAATCTTTTTTTTAAGAGCAAACACTGGGAAAGGGGAAATAGAGATCATTGGTTATGAGAAACCCACAGCAGACCGGACTCGAATCTCCTAACAATTTTACAGTAAGGGAAAAATAAACCACTCACCAACTTTGTCTGGAGAAGCACGTATGTAGCGCTGCAGAATGTCTACTCTTTCCTCTTCAAACTGAGAAGTGCCTGTGTTCGGTCTGCAAATGGAGGAGAGTGAGAGCGCAAGAAAACCAGAAAGAGAGAAAGAGAGAGAGAGAGAGGGGGGGGGGGAGGAGAGAGAGAAAGAGAGTGAGTGAGAGAGAAAGAGAGAGAGAGAGAGAGAGAGAGAGAGAGAGAGTGAGTGAGTGAGAGAGAGAGAGAGTGACAAGTGACATTAAAGAACAGATAAAATATCTGACCTGACGCACACACAAACAAAGGAGGTGAGTGTTGTGATCTCGAACTCGTCAGTCACTGAACTGATTTTATGCTCTTATTGATACACTATCCAGCTGTCCAGTGGCTCTCCTTCCACGGCTCTCTATCCTGCTATTCTCTTCTTTACACTCTATAAGTTCGTGTCTTCTTTACAACGAGAGAGCTTGGAAGCTCAGGGCTCTACGCTATGCTTTTTTGCCTTGATGACCTAGACAAAAAAAGCATACGGATGTTATAAATTCATATAATTTTTTCCTTTTTTTTTAAAGACATATTAAACCTGGGATTCGAACCCGCACTATCGCCCTGCATGCATCCCCCGATACATTTCGCATACATACTAATTCTTCCAAGTTGCTTCACGTTATGATCTTGCATTTGAAAGCCCTATTTGAATATGCATTGTGGCCAGCCGTCTTTGATGGCACGGTATGGTACGGGACAGGTACGGGACAAGTACGGTCGAGGGTAATACGACACCGTCTACCGCCTTGATGACCTAGGCAAAAAAGCATAGGGATGTTATAAATTTTTCAATTCTCCTATTTTTTAAGGCATAACCTGGGATTCGAACCCGCACTATCGCCCTACATGCATTCCTCCATACACTTCGCATTCATACTCATTCTTCCAAGTTGCTTCACGTTATGATCTTGCGTTTGAAAGCCCTATTTGAATATTGCGGCCAGCTGTGTTTGATGGTACGGTACGGGACAGATACGGGATAGCGCCAGGCGTGACACAAACACACAAACAAACAAACACCAAATTAAAGCTGTGTGGACCCTGGCTAGCGCCAGACGTTACTGAAGTAACGTCTTCTGCATAGCTACGGGAATAAAATCAGTTCAGTGACTGACGAGTTCGAGATCACAACACTGAACTGATTTTATTCCCGTAGCTATGCAGAAGACGTTACTTCGTTATAACGTCTGGCGCTAGCCAGGGTCCACACAGCTTTAATTTGGTATTTGTTTGTTTGTTTGTTTGTGTCACGCCTGGCGCTATCCCGTGTCTGTCCCGTACCGTACCGTACCATCAAACACAGCTGGCCACATACAGCTGGCCGCAATATTCAAATAGGGCTTTCAAACGCAAGATCATAACGTGAAGCAACTTGGAAGAATGAGTATGAATGCGAAGTGTATGGGGGAATGCATGTAGGGCGATAGTGTGGGTTCGAATCCCAGGTTATGCCTGAAAAATAGGAGAATTGAAAATATATAACATCCCTATGCTTTTTTTCCCTAGGTCATCAAGGCGGTAGACAGTGTCGTATTACCCTCAGCCGTACCTGTCCCGTACCATCACAGACGGCTGGCCACAATGCATATTCAAATAGGGCTTTCAAATGCAAGATCATAACGTGAAGCAACTTGGAAGAATTAGTGTGTATGCGAAGTGTATCGGGGGATGCATGCAGGGCGATAGTGCGGGTTCGAATCCCAGGTTATGTCTAAAAACAAAAGTAGAAATTTATAAGAATATATAACATCCCTATGCTTTTTTTGTCTAGGTCATCAAGGCAAAAAAGAAAAGCGTAGGGCCCTGAGCTTCCAAGCTCTCTCGTTGTAAAGAAGACACGAACTTATAGAGTGTAAAGAAGAGTATAGCAGGATAGAGAGCCGTGGAAGGAGAGCCACTGGACAGCTGGATAGTGTATCAATAAGAGCACAAGGGGAAGGCTAGACAGTCTGTCTCTAGACATCAATAGGTATTGTACGAAAGGCCAGTCAATAGTACTAAAGAGTGAAGTCAACCGCAACACAGACAATACCTTCAGACAACCGTGACAGGCATGATACAGATGATACAACAGTGAGGATCAGAGGAAAGGAATGAGACAACATTACATCCAGTGAGAGGAGGAGATACACCAATGATGTAGAACTGTTTGACATGGATTAAACTTGTTCTACAGTGGAACAATGTAGTACACAAACTCCAGTAACTCCACCTGGTGATATTGAAGATGTCTATTCAGATACAGTACACATGTAGAAAAGGATGCAGCTTACCGTGTCACAAACATGAGATGTGGTGACCTTTCTTTCTGCATGGCGAGCAAGTACAGATGTTTGCCTTTCTGTTCACGTTTCGACACATAGAAGCCATCATGGTCACCTTGCTTACGTTCATAACGCTTCAGAGCATCTTCCCAGGATATGCCACGGTCGACATTCACAACTGTCAGTCTGAACAAGAACACAAATAGTGGTATGTAGCCAGTGAAAACAGTCAGTACTGACAACTTACTAAAACACTCATTAGAGCACAAGCGTATTGAGCTTTCTTGACTACACCATGTCGCAGCGGTAGAGCTCGCTGGCCTGTAGCCAAGCCACTGATGGCGACAATCCATTCTTCCTCAGGCGTTCTACTTTTCGATCTTTCAAACTAATGAGCATGGAACTTTCTTGGGTTTAATACGCACATACACATGCACACAAACACGCACAGACACACTCATACAGGTAAATAGACACATGCACGCGCGCACACACATATACACACACACGCGCACACACGCACATACACACACACACACACACACACATATACACACACACACACGGCAACTCACGTAGTAATGGCAGTAACTGGCCGTTGCACCTCAGTGAAGACATGGCGAGGCTGACAGGCCAACTGAATTGAACTAGCCTGGATATCAGTCACACCCTCTGAATACCTATTGACAGCAGAACAGTAGTAACACACACACACACACACACACACACACACACACACACACACACACACACACACACACACACACACACACACACACACACACACACACACACACACACTTGTACTTGTTGCTCACTGCCAAAACTGGTCACGTGGGTCTCCCCGGGAGAGAGGAGAGAGACTCAAAAGGAATCTTGGAAAGATGACTCAATTGGCTATTAAACCGCCCAACGGCCGACACCCCCTGAAATCCCCAAAACTCTGGGTGGACTTGAAAATGATCCCACTTATGGGCTCACCACACCTCAGTAAGTGGGTGAGGACAAGGTGCAGAAAAAGGACTGACGGCATCAGGGTATCCGTCCTGGGATCCAACTGCAGTTACCCCTGCCCCCAGTTAAGGTAATACTTGCTACTAGTGTGAGTGGCTAAAATTAATCAGAGTGGATCTGATACAAGCTTCACTAGCACCATGATTACACAAGAGTCAATCTAGCCAGAAGTAGTCCATGGTTAACAGGTATGTATACTTCAAATAGAAAGTATAATTATGAACCCTGAAACCAACAAAGGTGGTAGGTACAACATTACACCTTCAAGCAGCCGAGCCCGTTGGCAACAGACCCAACACTATCCGGCATAAGTGTACCCACCAACCGAACTAGCTGGCACACAGACACACACAGAACACACACACAGAACACACACACACACAAAAAAAAACACAAAACACACACACATGACAACATTATTTTACAGCTCCACAGATGACTGAGGATTTGCAACTTATTTCTCTGATCGATGAGATGGCCCGTACCACCTAGCTGAGCAAAGCATACCAACGGCTCTATGGGAAACGGGAAGTCTCAAGATATTTGTTTGCCAGAACCGAGAACCCAACTCTAACTTAATTCGGCTGGAAATGGGATTTGGACCAGCAGGTCTGCATATTCATTTTTATCAATGAAAAATCCGGCAAAAAATAACTTCGTTATGGTCCTACTTTAGCCTAATTAGGGGAAATTGGCATCAACGGCATTATAGAAGATCATTCCATAGTGCACTGGAAAACCCATTGTGAAGAAGGTCAAACATTGACTCAACACTGAGTAGTAGAGTCAGTTATTGTGTGATTCATGATGAGTCACACTGATGACCTAAACAAACAACAGAACTTTGCCTTGGGAGTGTTTTTTACGCGGCATAGACGCAGAGTTCAAACACTGGTTTATGTCCTCATGGTGATATATTATGAATATCTGTATCCAATCACTCACGTTCCATCCTTCTTTGCTGCTTCAATTGCCTTACCAAGACAGGCAGTAAAGTACGAAAAGATCTGTATATGAGAGAGAGAGAGAGAGAGAGAGAGAGAGAGAGAGAGACACACACACACACACACACACACACACACACACACACACACACACACACACACACACACACACAAAATGCTGGAGATGAATATTTCCTAAAAGACAGCTTCTGGCACTGCACATGAACATTACTGGGTCCAGGGCTTATTTGCAGTGCACACTGGAGAGACCGGAGAGACCATGCAGGAACAGTGAGCAGCACAGCAATACACTTCATCATCTAACATGCTACATACTACTCTGCACCATCACATACGCGTACAGTAAACTGGTTACAATCAGTTTGAAGAACCTTGGTTTTCGCCAGCCTGGAACATGGAGAGGTCCACCACCCCACAATGGTCACAAACATACCTACACACACCACTCACCTGGTTCTGTTCCTGCACTTTCAAGCCAAGGATACGGTTGAGGAAGCGGGATACATCGGTGTTCTCCTTGTCACGGACAACGCCACCAGTAGCAATGTTCTGGACTAAGCCCATCGACTCCAGGCAGCCCTGTGACCAAAACAAGCACAACAAGATCGTAGAGAGTCCTGTGGAAAAGTCACACTTGAAAAGAAGCTGAAGCAAGTTCAAGCAACCACGAGGCACAGTACAGAAGATATTGAGTAGTTGATGCAAGTCATGGAACCTGATGACTGATCTGGCAAGAAAGTCATCTGACACCTCTCGATGTGCACTGCCCATACCTGCATGGATTTGTTCCAAGCAGCAAATGACGCACTGTCCTCGGAATCTCCGTCAGTATCAAGCTCTGAGAAGGAAACACCAGTACAGATTTCGCCCTATACAACAGCAACAACAGCAGCAGCAGCAGCAGCAGCAGCAGCAGCAGCAGCAGCAGCAGCAACAACAAGAACAAGAAAGTGCACATCAATAAGGCCCCAGCACTAGAGGAGAACAGTAAACACAGCTAGCTATGATCTACAACGGATTTTTGTGAGTCGGTGCGCTTGCTCACAAGGTTGGCATACCCAACTCTCCAACACAATGTTCTGGATACATTAGCGAAAGACCAGTTCCTCGCTGGCATACGAGACAGGAGCATTCGTCTGGAAGCTCGTCGTGGTGCGCCTGCTACACTCGACGCAGCACTCACCCAAGCGCTGCAGGCACAAGCCATCTTTGCCACGGAATTACCAGTACAGTCAGAAAGAGCTGTGCCCGTTTATGCTGCTACGGCTGCCAACAGTAATGTTTCGGATGTCTTAGCGCAGCTCCTGGACAGAATTGGCAAGCTGGAGTCTTGTGTACAGGCCTTACAAAACCCACAACGAGGAACCGACATGCCAAGATGCTATGGTTGCGGGAGTCCAGAGCATTTTGTTGCCAATTGCCCCAGGGCCAACAGTGGAAGAGGACGTGGTTGTGGCCGTGGTGGTTGGTCTAGGGGACAGCAGGGAAACTGAAATGCGCTGATGATGACACGAGTCGCTCGTCAGCGGAGGATTGTTTTGAAGACTCGCCTAGTACTACAACCCACACCGATGGTCCCTCTGCTGAAGATCAGTCCGTTCGTCTTCCCATGTCCTGTTTGGCTGCACACACAGAAGGCGCTATGGCTGTGAAGGGTATCGTCGCATCCGGTCCAGCGACTATGTTAGTGGACACTGGTAGATGTATCACCTTGCTCAGCACCAAATTTGTCTGTAAGCTTCAATCTGTCCATAAGTTTTCGTTGCATTTATCTCCATGTTCCACATCTCTTACGGCTGTCAATAATTCTTCCATTGATGTCGATGGTCGATGCACTATCTCGTTATCGGTTGGTGGCCTGTCTGTATCCCATAATGTTATCGTCGCAGACATTGGTCCTGATGTGCTGATTGGTCTTGATCTCTTGAAGACACATGGGTGTACTGTTAATTTGCACAAGAATGTTCTGCTGGCCGGCGATGTTTCTATGTTTCTACTTGAAGTATACCGATGCAACCAATGCCATCCCAAACCGTTTGCCGTGTTGTCACTTCTGAGACTGTTACTTTACCGCCGTACTCTCAAGTTATTGTTGCTGGAGCTATTCAATTTGACTATGCACATGCTCTGTCCACTGGTATCATTAAACCAAGCAAGAAATTTGTTGAACACTATCACGTTGCAATGGCTGGTGCTGTGGTTACGCCGGATATAGCATGCCGGGTACCTACCTGTTTGCAGAATCTTCTCCCGACCCCTACCACGATAGCTAAGCACTACAATGTTGCTCAATGTTGACTGTACTGTATCGGTTGAGGAGAATGAGCCAGTAGAACTTGGCCAGGATCCTCTAACATCTTGCAACAGTGTTCAGCAAGAGCCACAGACCGATGACCCACTTGAAAAGTTTGATCTGCAACACACGTCTGCTGATAACCAGGCCAAGGTCACCGATTTACTCCGCAAGAATTCAGACATTCTATCCCAGGGCCAGTTTGACCTAGGTCAAGTATCACACCATAATGAAACAGAGTCCGACAGGCCCAAGCTCCAAGCTCCAAGACGAGTTCCTCTTCATCAGACAGCCGAAGTCAAGCAACATATTGAACAGCTACTGGATACTGATGTCATCTCCCCGTCCAACAGACCATGGGCAGCTCCAATTGTTGTTGTGAGGAAGCCTGATTCGTCTCTCCGACTGTGCGTGGACTATCGGCAACTCAATGCTATCGCCAAGAAGGACGAGGTGTAACATTTCTGATTACATAGACTACGTTGAATGCACTTCTTATTGTGTTTCCCATGTAGCATGGTTGGTTTATTTCCGCGTTGCAGTACGGATGATTCTGGGTTCAAACCCTGATTGAGTATTAGGGGTTCCGAAAAGTTGGAGACTCTCCAAAGCTCTCCAAGCTTCAGAGGTGGTTGAAACTTGGATCCCCGCGGTTTGGGATCAGCGCATGCGAACTACGGCTAAAAGCCACGTGTTGCTCATGAGTGTAAGCATTTCCCTTTTCACATACGCACATGTGTACACTAAATTCATAACTCAAGATCCCTTTGGCGCTCCATATTGCTTCACATGTGCAAAATATCTCCGAATTCTTCGAGACCCGTTCTTGAATTATCAGTTTCTTCGACTTCTCTTTTCTTCTTCTCCTAGAAGCTAGAGAATATAAGAACGCACCCTTAGTTTTTCTTTTCCTTTTTTCTTCTTTTTTTGTTTTGTTCTCTCGCACATGTTGAGTGCACAGACTCGTTCCTTTTTTCGAAGATCCTTCATTTTGGTTGAGTGGTTGATGGCCTTTTAACACGGAGAGTTGGCAAGAACCATTTCCTTTTGATGTCCAATGCCTGTGAGTGAGTGTCTGTAGATTGTAGCAGGGATGCTCCACAATCACGTATGAGCTGGGTCACATACACTCACAAATCATGATCAGTCGAGTCACACAATCTTACCCGGCATATCGCATTGTACATTTGCCTCAAAGCGGATCGACCGTATGCCGTGTCAAGATTGAACTCAGTCAAGTCACTACCAGATGCTGCTCGCCTGTCACCCTTCGTCAGAGCACCTGCCCATGCCCACGTACACAATGGTCAAAAAGTCGGCAATGCCAAGCAGCCACAAACACACACACACACACACACACAGGCACGCGCACCCACGCACACAGGCACGCGCACCCACGCACACAGGCACGCGCACCCACGCACACAGAATGCTGTTGTCAAGAACATTAGCCACTGGAAGCTATAACAGACCACAACATGGGGTAAACATTGCTAGATACACATGGAGTCACTTACTAGTGGAAACTCTCTTTCAGTATTACACATTGTGGTAGTAATAAGAACACATCACTTGAATACTGAGAAGCAGGGAAACCATGTACCGTAAAGTACCGTTGATGCGCCCCCACGCCATGTCGCTTCCCAGCTAGATTTTCGGCAGGGGGCGGGAATCAGATCAAGGCTGTCAAGTGCAGTATGATGCACACCGACGTGGAGGATCAGACTCGACGTGCTGGATTGTGCACATTTTCATCCTAGATTGGCAAGTATTGTGACAGCAGTGCATGCGTCGGTTCAACATCGTACTTCGTTGTATACGCCGAAGTCGCTTCACAGGTAGAAAATCGATAGGGGGCGGGAATTAGAGAGGGGGCGGGAATTAGAGAGGGGGCAGGAATTAGAGAGGGGCGGGAATTAGAGAGGGGGCAGGAATTAGAGAGGGGCAGGAATTAGAGAGAGGGCAGATCAACGGTACATGTACATGTCTAATTCTCTGCTTTCAGGCAAATACAAAGACATTAAAATGCGAGGGTCCCTGGTTCGAGTCCTGGTGGTGACAGTCAATTTTTCTTCAGACTTTTCCCGTTTGTCTCTTTCCCTCAAACCAGTGAAGATTTTATATGACTTGGGCTCCCCGCGTGCTAGAGTGTACGTGAAGTGTGTGGGTACAGTGAGGGCTGCGTCCCACCCGCCTGTGTGGATTCACAGGAAGTGTGAGTTACGAAGTCTGAAGAAAATGTTGAACAGTCTCTGCTGGGATGACGGCTACACCATAGCTCAGTGGTTAGAGCATCACTAGCTACAAGCGAGGGTCCCTGGTTCGAGTCCTGGTGGTGACAGTCAATTTTTTCTTCAGACTTTTCCCGTTTGTCTCTTTCCCTCAAACCAGTGAAGGCATTAAAATACAATGTCTTTATTTCAGAATCTTTCCAGGAACCAATGACTATCGTTGGGAATCAATGCACACAACAGCAGGGGGTGGGTGATATCTATGCCATTGATCAGCCGTGGACAGGGGTATCCACGCCATTGAACCATTAGTGCTTACCTAAACTCTGAAGTCGCTTGGCAACTGCTGCAGCAAACCTGCGCTCCCCACCGAGATTTGTGGTGAGAAGGCGATAGATGGGTGCACTGCATGGCACAAGGAGTACACAGAGTACACAGATCACAGTACCTGTACAGTGCTACATGTTACTGTCATGTACACAAAGGAACATCATACACTGTATAGGATGGGGATATTAGAACGGGAAAAAACCATATTGAAATGATCGAAAAATTGCCCCCTCTTTGTGGAAGGGTGGCAGACGTTCAAAGGATATTAATTGTATTCTCTGCACACACTGAACAAGTATCGTTGTCAGTTTGGGGTAATGTACCAAGAAGGTGGACACAAGAACATCCAGCTTAGAAGAGCCAAGTGCATGGAAAAAGCCCAAGGCATTTTTGTCCTTTTTTCTTACATGCATTTGCACCTTGAATATGCTTTTGTATCTCTCATCTGGAACCCCTGAATTGAAATGGGCAATTTAATGTCAAGATGAAGACCTACTCCACAGAGGGCTTGGCTACCTGATCACAAGTGTCTGAAAGCAATGAAGCGAGTCCTTCCTATGCCAAATGCTATCTGCCAGTGTGTGCGCCAGTGTGCGTGCCAGTGTGTGTGTGTGTGCCAGTGTGTGTTACCTCACTCTCCATGAATGAACATACAACTCTGAACCTGAATAGAAACAAATGATTCCTTGCTTCTTTCTACTCAAGAGCACAAGAGTACCCACACCCACCCACGTACACATACATGTACACACAAGTGTACACACACAGACACACACACCTGCTTTGATTGGAACGATGTGACCGGCCAAGCTGCTGAACAGCCTTGTCAGCACTCCATGCCAGCTCAAACGTCAGGTGAACACGTCTATGTTGATTGGCCACTGCCATATCAGCATGAAGTGAAATTCCTGAAAGAAATCAGACCATGAAAAAAGCACGACACATGGTCTCGTAGTGTAAGGAACTAAACGCCCATCACAAGACCCACTACTTTGCAGTGGTGTTTATTTTCTCCAAACAACAGCATGAGCGCCGCCATGCACTGTGCCCATCATGATCCTCGACACGTTGAAACAAAGGGGCGACCGCTTTCAAAATAAGAACAAACGGGCAATGAAAAATGGCGGCCAATAGAGTGTAAGAAACTTCACAGTAAGCAATGGTCTGTATGCACAGATGCACGAAATCCTGTATGTATGTCAGGGGCGTCGGAAGCAGTTTAACATTGGTGCGGCAAAAGTGTGAGAGGGGTCCGGGGTCCTCCCCCGGGAATTTTTTTGAAAATTGGGCCTAAAAGGCCATATTTTAATGCTACAGAATAATATGAGAAATAAGAATATGCATGCTGATGATACACCGCATTGTCGATGTAAAACATGGTAGATCTACCTGTACAAGAGTCAAGAGTCGACAAGCCATCAACAAGGTTGAAATGCAAAAAAAACTTCGAAAATTATTGGTGCGGCTTTGGCCGCACCTGCCGCACCGGTTCCGACGCCCCTGTATGTACATGCCTGGTTGTCACAATGTGTGTTCATTGTGTGCTATACATGTACACTGGACCAATCTAGCCAAGAAATCAATGGAAGGCACTCACTTTTCCAGCTGCGTCACTTTCGATAATGACTAGCTAGGTCTTCTTCTGAAAAAAAGTTGTCCTGTGAAATGCCTTCCAGGCACGTTTCGTAGTGGATATACCGGTAGCAGTAAACACAATAGGGCCCGGCCCTGTACATTCAACACCCAACCGAATCTACAGGATTCTACGAGATTGTACGAGATTGTACGGGACTTTGTACATCTGCAGCACCTGCACACTGTGCAAAACATCTATGTTTAAGTAGTAAGTGACTGGTAAGCGACCTCATCAAGCAGGTACATACCCGTGCTGGCGGCATCAGAAATGATTGCAACCTTCTTGTCACCATCCATGAAAGCCTTTCGCTGCATACCAGAAAAACGGAAATCCGAGAAAAAAAAGAAGAGAGAGATCAAAATGACGTTTGTAGCGATATTCACGCAACACAGCCCCGACACGGGAGCATACGGTGGTGACTATGAAGTGGTGACTGTATGGGAATCATCACTATCAGTCTCTACGTAGTCTTATCCACACAGCTGTGCACTGTGAGGCAACTACATTCACAAAGCCATGGCTACTCTTCAAGACAGCAAAAACAGACTGCAGCATGGAACCTTGCATTGAGGAATATAAGATGCATCGAGGAATGTACATGTACATGTCCTGCAATCATCAGAAAGTAGATTCCACTGCTCTATCATGTATAATCTAGCCAACACCCTAGTACAAGAGGCAAATTTCAGTGTTTTTCGGATTTCAAAAATGACTATGGCATTGCAAAGGACTTCATAAGTGCACAGAAGTAAATTCACACAAGACAATTCATTGACAATTAATTTACAACAATTGGCTTGTTCTTAGAGGAAAACATTACACGTGTGCTGAAGAGTACCTCTCTGATATTGAGACTGTCTACTGCACTGGAAGCTGACGTCAAGCCGACACCGGTTAGAGTCTCGCGAGATTCATAGCGTATCTCGCTCTGCCCTTTCCTGGACACACAGCGCACCACACGTGCACGCCGCCCAGTCATCTCCGCCACCGCACTGGGCCCGCCGAGCTGGTCGATGAGATCGTCCAGAGGACTCTGGGGCAGCGACATTCCCTTGACATGCTTGAGTAACATGGCTTTGGACTCAGCGCTCCATGGGTCATCATCGGCCGGACCACTCTGCATTGGCACAACAATCACAGTCACTCACCCAATGGTCATAGCCATGCATACAGCAACCACAGTCATTTACGCAATGGTCACAGCCATACACGCAATGGTCACAGCCATGCACACAACAATCACAGCCATGCATGCAATGCCACATGTTTGAACAAGCTTTCCCCGGCTCCATTCTTATCTAATTCAACTCACTCATGGCAAGACAGTGCATACATGTTATTGGTGCGCATCGGAGCTTCAAGCTTCGATACAACAGTGAATTGCCTATGACGTCATAAATATTTCCACTCACATCCAACCCACTTCCCGTCACAATGTACCATTGCTAGTGAAATGGGAAATCATGTGCCGACGAGTAACTGCACACAACGGATGGAGCAGCACCGTGCCGTGTAGTTCCAAGTAGTGCACATACTTCCATTGTCAGAATGTCCACTGAGAATATAACACTGCTGTGATTGCTCTGCTGCACTGCATAGATCATTGCAGTGTTACAAACATGCCGCTGCTATACATTGCACATGATCATTGCAGTGTTACAAGCATGCCGCTGCGAAGTTGTACATCGTACATGATCATTGCAGTGTT